ACCATAAAGGAAAGATAGAGTGATTTCGGAGGAGACAAAATGTGTCTTACACTGTTAGGTTGTAAGGATTTTTTTAAAATTTCCTTTGCAGTAGCTGAGTAGGTGAACAGGAAACTTACATCTTTAAGTAAGCTTTTGCCTTCTCTCACCTTCCAATGAAAGACAAAGGGTACAGATTCCAAGATAAGCTTTTGTCCTTTGGGGAAAATAGCATGCATTGAAATAATAGGGAACAAGAGTGGCTTGGTTAAAGTGACATGGTTAAAGTGAATCTGTGGAACTCATTGACACAAGGCACAGAGAATATGCTTTAAAAGAGCATTAGACAAATTCATGGAGGGTAGGTGTATTATTTGTTATTAATCATACAGTAATGCTATGATTAGAGTGGCTGGGGAAACCCAGCCAGATGGGCAGGGTATAAAATAATAATAATAATAATAATAATAATAATAATAATAATAATAATAATAATAATGTCAAGGTCTAAATGATGTAGATATCTGAAATACTGCTTCCCTCCCAACAATCCCATTCATTTATTAACATCAACAGAGCAGGTCTTCTTGGTATTATTATTATTATTGTTATTATTAAAATTTGTATACTGCCCTGTGACCGCAGACCTCAAGCTAAAATCACAATATAAAAAACATAAAATGCATAATAAAAACAAAAACAAGAGCAACCCAATAATCCCCCGCCTCCACAACACATTTTTAAAGGGTATTGTATGTCAATCAACCAAAGGCCTGGTCAAAGAGGAACATTTTTGCCTGGCACCTAAAGGTATAAAATGAAGGCTCAGGCCAAACCTCCCTGGGGAGAGCATCCCACAAATGGGGAGCCACTGCAGAAAAGGCCCCATTGGAAGTTCCACTGCCCTCAGAAGTTTGAGTGGTGGTGCTCTGGGAGAGAGCATTCTCTGCAGCAGCTCCTAAGTGGAGGAATTTCCTCCCCACGATTGCACTCAGGTCCTGATTGTAAGCTTTGTTGGCCATCGGGAGAACAGAATGTTGAACTAGAAGGGCCTTTGCCCTGGTCCAGCTATTTCTGTGTTCTTGTGGCTCATTAAAATGATTTATTAGTTCTTAAGTCTGCCTGGGCTTTTGCGAAATCAGAGAACCACTCTCCCTGTATGGATATCAGACCCCCACACCCTGCAATGTGCTGAGAGCAGCTGGGAAGTCCTAGTTCATGGGTAGGCAAACTAAGGCCCAGGGGCCGGATCTGGCCCAATCGCCTTCTAAATCCGGCCTGCGGACGGTCTGGGAATCAGCATGTTTTACATGAGTAGAATGTGTGCTTTTATTTAAAATGCATCTCTGGGTTATTTGTGGGGCATAGGAATTCATTCATTATTATTTCTTTCAAAATACAGTCCACCCCCCCACAAGGGCTGAGGGACAGTGAACCAGCCCCTTGCTGGAAAAGTTTGCTGACCCCTGTCCTCGTTCACTGAGAACCAGTGTGGTGTAGTGGTTAAGAGCGGTAGACTCGTAATCTGGTGAGCTGGGTTCGCTTCCCCGCTCCTCCACATGCAGCTGCTGGGTGACCTTGGGCTAGTCACACTTCTCTGAAGTTTCTCAGCCCCACTCACCTCACAGAGTGTTTGTTGTGGGAGAGGAAGGGAAAGGAGATTGTTAGCCACTTTGGAACTCCTTTGGGTAGTGATAAAGCGGGATATCAAATCCAAACTCCTCCTCCTCCTCTTCTTCTTCTTCATTGCCCTCTCCATGCAGGCATGGAGAAGCATGGTGTCTGATGATGCAAACACGACTGCTGTGGTGTGTGTTTTTGGCTAACAGAATCAGAATAGTTAAGAGCTGGAGAAGTGGTAGGTTGCCATTCCTAAGGCAGTGGCAGAGCATATGATTGCGTTTCCACCTTTTGATAAGACGAAGAGGACTGTAGGGTTAGCACAGGGGTGCAAACAACATTAGAAGAGCCTAGTGGCGCATCCAGTCCACCATCCCGTTCTCACAGCAGCCTATCAGATGCCTCTGGGAAGCCCACAAACAAGACCTTATTGCAACAGTGCAATTCAGCCCAGACACTGAGGTCCAGCTCTGAGGCCCTTCTGGCGTTTCCCTCATTGCGAGAAGTGAGGTCACAGGGAACCAGGCAGAGGGCCTTCTCGGTGGTGGCACCCACCCTGTGGAACATGCTCCCAGCCAATGTCAAGGGGAAAAACAACTGTCTGACTTTCAGAAGACATCTGAAGGCAGCCCTGTTAGGGAAGTTTTTGATGTTTTATTGTGTTTTTAATATTCTGTTGGGACGCAGGTGGTGCTATGGTGTAAACCACTGAGCCTTGGGCTTGCCGATTGGAAGGTTGGCGGTTCGAATCCCCACAACGGAGTGAGCTCCTGTTGTTCAGTACCTGCTCCTGCCAACCTAGCAGTTTGAAAGCACGTCAAAGTGCAAGTAGATAAATAGGTACCGCTCCGGCGGGAAGGTAAATTGCGTTTCCGTGCACTGCTCTGGTTTCACCAGAAGCGGCTTAGTCATGCTGGCCACATGACCCGCAAAAACTGTCTGCAGACAAACGTCAGCTCCCTCAGCCAGTAAAGCGAGATGAGCGCCACAACCCCAGAGTCATTTGCTATTGGACTTAACTGTAAGGGGTCCTTTACCTTTAATATACTGTTGGAAGCCACCCAGAGTGGCTGGGTAAACCCAGCCAGATGGGCAGGGTATGTATGTATGTATGTATGTATGTGTGTGTGTGTGTGTGTATATATATATATATATATATATATATATATATAATTATTATTATTACTGCTAATATTACTACTATTTGGTTTAGAGGCATACTGCGTCCAGCAGTGGACGCAAAACAGAGCCATCATGACTTGTAGCCATTGGTAGCCTTATTAGAGGAGATTATTTATTTTAAAGCCATCAAAGTTAGTGAACATCACTGCCACTTTGTGCAGTGTAGATCCATATGTGCAGATTCCATAGTTTAACTGCGCTGTGTGGAGAAGCCCTTTCTTTTATCTGTCCTGAATCCTCCATCATTCAGCTTCGTTGGAGTTCTCGGTTTTTCTGAAATGCCATGCATAAATTTTATACACTTCTTGCCTTTTACTAGGCTTTTCTCTAATCTGAGAAGTCCCAAATATTGCACTCTTTCCCAATAGGCAAGTTATCCCATCCCCTTGATCCCGTTACCCTTTCCGGCTCTGCAACAGGGGTGCCAACTTGAATAAAATATTGGGGGTGCCAGGTAAGCCCTGCCCCACATAAATCGATCACATGACATGGCACATGCACACCATTTGAATGGCAATGCCCATTAACTTTGGGTTGCCCAGCCCCCTCAAATATTTTATTGGGGGGCAAAGGGACATCAGCCCCTAGGAGTTGGCTCCTCTGCTCTGCAATTACTTTTTTGAGATAAAGTGACCAAAACTGTAAGTAAGTAAGTAAGTAAGTATATGAATACTATTTATACCCCACCCATCTGGCCGGGTTTCCCCAGCTACTCTGGGCAATTTACAGCATATTTAAAACATAATAAAACATCAAACATAAAAAACTTCCTGATGCAAGGCTGCCTTCAGATGTCTTCTAAAAGTTGTGTAGTTCTTTATCTCCTTGACATCTGGTGGGAGGGCGTTCCCCAGGGAGGGCACCACTACTGAGAAGGCCTTCTGTCTGGTTCCCTTCACTTCTCTCAATGAGGGAACCACCAGAAGACCCTCGGAGCTGGACCCCAGTGTCCAGGCTGAACGATGGGGGTGGAGTTGCTCCTTCAGGTATACTGGACCCAGCCTGTTTAGGGCTTTAAAGGTCAGCACCAACACTTTGGTTTGTGCTTTGAAACGTACCGTTTTCCAAATGCAGCCACACCACAGATTTGTAGAGGAAAGCATAGGCTGGAATGCAGGTGAGACCTTGGGCTGCTCAAGGTGAAAAGAAGCATAATGAGTGACCACAAAGGGAAAGAGGTGTGTTCATCTCTGCCAAAGAAACAGGGGTTCTCATTAATATGGTCTGCTAGGGGTGTGTGTGTGTTTAATGATATAGTCTATTGCAATCATTTAATTAAAAAAAAATCATTGTATCATTGTTTTACTTATGGCTGTATTTTGACAATAGAAGAAGAAGAAGAAGAAGAGTTTGGATTTGATATCCCGCCTTTCACTCCCTTTAAGGAGTCTCAAAGCGGCTAACATTCTCCTTTCCCTTCCTCCCCCACAACAAACACTCTGTGAGGTGAGTGGGGCTGAGAGACTTCAAGGAAGCGTGACTGGCCCAAGGTCTCCCAGCAGCTGCAAGTGGAGGAGCGGAGACGCGAACCCGGTTCACCAGATTAGCAGACTACCGCTCTTAACCACTACACCACACTGGATTGTGTCCCGTGTTAACCCGAGTCAGAGTAGATCCACTGCAAATAATGAACTTATGCCCATTGTGTTCAGCGGATCTGTTCTGAGTAGGATTTAGTTGGGAACATCATCATCATCATCATATAGATTGCGAATCTCCTTGGGAAAGGGCAGCTTGCAAATTTTTAGAAATTTTAAGTGTACTTGAAGCGGAGAGAATCAATGGAGTGCAGCTCATACCTAAATGCAGAAAGCATTATATATCCAAATGTATTACCGCCTTAATAATAATGATAATAATTTCATTATTTTTACCCTGCCCAAGCCCATCTGGCTGGATTAAATATGCACCACCAGAAAACAACAACAAATTTAGAAAAACAAGTGTCTGGCGCTCACTGGCCCTCCTTAGCCCAAAGGTGGAGGGCCAGCATTGTTCCTTGCCCCTCTAGAAATATGAATGCACATTGCCCGGAAGCAGGAGGCTGCGTCTCGGTGCTTAGGATCCCTTGCTAGGTGGCTCAGGGATGGGCATCGGGGGTGCAGTGGGTGGGCCCGGAGACAGAGGTGGGGGTGTTCCGGAAGGAGGGAGGGGGCAGCCCTTGGTTATTTCCGCTGCCTCCCCAAAGTGACGGCTCCCTCTCGCTTGTCCCGCCGCAGGCTCCAGCAGCAGGTCTTGTCGTCGCAAGGCGCAGGGCGGTCGCTGCCGTCGGAGGAGGAGAGCGCCGGAGAGCCCCTCCTGGGCGCAGCCGCCAGCCCCGCCGCCAGCCTGTCCAGCAAAGCCGCCGCCTCCTCGGCCATCTCCATCACTTCCAGCGACAGCGAATGTGATCTGTGAGAAGGAAGAAGAGGAGGAAAGCAGGAGGAGGAAGGACTGACGGACGGACGGGGCGGCCGGGCGCGCGGGAGAGCCGAGGGCGCAGCAGCAGCGGTGGCACAGCCGCCTCCAGCCAAGCACTCCTCGCCAGCCAGTGCCTGTCTGCCTGCCTTGCCCGCCTTCACGGCTTCCTGCGCCGCTTTGCCTTGTCCGCAATCCCGGGCCCGACGGCTGGTGGCGGGCCTGCGGAGCAGCCGGAGTCTCCAAGGACAGTCCAGCCCGTCTGAAAAGCAGGACGCGAAAACGCTCGGAGAGACTCCGCTGACGCTTGTCCTCCCAGCGGCATCTTCGTCGCCTTCCATCCTTCAGCCAGGATCTGCTGTAAAGATGCCTCAAAAGTCACACACGCGCGCAGAGGGAGAAAGAGAGACGCCAAACCCTAGAGGGAGGAGGATAGAAATTGCAGCTCCGTCGCCTGCCGCAAATCCTAATTCCTCCCTCTGGGGATTTCCAGTTGAAAAGTTGCTGGTGGTTGTTTTTCGGAGGTTGTTTGTTTGGTTTGGTTTGTTAGTTCGCTTTTATTTTTAAAAGGTTTTTTTTATACATATACATATATATAAATATAAATATAAATATTCTATATAATGTTTATTGACTTATTTAAAGAATTGCTCTGTGGGTAGATTGTTTTATTTGATTATCATAATTGCTATTATTAATTATTATTAATATTATTATTATAATTATTGTTTGAGGCTTGATGCCTGCGTGCGCTGGGGATTTAATTTCCTGGAGTATGTGCAGCAGGACTAGGGATTGTAGGGGGAGGGGGCAGCCAAATCACAACAAACAGACCAAGAAACGAACAATTCCAGTGTAATAAAATAATAGGTGAGCGAAACTGAGATTCTTTCTTTCCCGTCCTTGACTTAAAACGCTTTTTAAACCAGGAGAAGGGTTGGAAGCGTTTTGTTTGTTCGTTTGCATGGATCTGGGGTCTAAACAAGGTCCACAGAGAGCACCTGGATGTGGATTTAAAAGAAAAGAAGTGAATTTAAAACCAAGCGTGATTTCGAGAAAACCAGAGTCGACCCATTCTATCCACGTTCTTGAGCAACGCTTATTCATTTTCGTTGGTGCGCAAAAAAAAGAAGGCCCCTTATTGCGCTTGTGGGTTCAGCACCAAGGAGGTTTTACCGTCTTGGAGTAAAGCAGTTTTGAGAGACAAACCGAGCCAAAGGAAGGAGGGTAGGGAGAGAGAAGGGAGCGTTTCGGTACAAGAAGACAAAAGTCAGGGAAATCTTTGGGCCTTGGAAGAGAAAACAAGGCAGCAGTCTGTCCTATCCAGACTTAGGAGTAGCTGTTTTATTAACTGCATTGCAATGCCGTCCAGTAACCGAAGTTATCCGAGCCAGTTACTCTTTTTTTTAATAAAGCAATTAAAATAACAGCATAATGCAATGAGGGGTAAGCCCTGATAAACTCAACGGGTCTACTAGGATCGCAGTGCACAGCTGCTCTTTGCAGAAACTAGAGGTTAGGTCGGAGCTGCAAAGATGGCATCTTTGCCTTTTCTGGCTTCTGAATTAAGCCCTGTTTGTACGCACAGCGGGCTAATGCAAGAGGGGGGAAAATATTGCAGCCATCTGGGTAACGCAAGATGTAGCTCCTGTGTCATTTCAATATGGAAAACAGGGCAGATTTTCAACAGTGCTTACTTTAAAGTAAAAATATCCCGGGGATAACTTGCTGTTGACAGAGGATAAATTGGGCACCACACACCCACAATCCATCCTTTATGAGCATAAACTTGGCGCGCTTAAAAAAATGCTATTTACCTTCAACATACCAGTTTTATCCCCTTATGCTAGAGCGATCCTGTGCAAAGTGATGCATCGGATCAATGACTCTTTTGCGCGCTAATACTATACACAGGATGGGGCGGAATAAATTTGCAACCCTACAGAATACTGACACACTTTCCTGAACACTTATTTGTAAATGTGTGCAGAACTGGGCTGCACCGCTGGGAAAGGAGCCAGGATTTAAGTGGGGGGGGCAGACTCCGTGTTATGGGGAGCAGGCTTCGTGTTGTGGGTACAGAACCTCAGTTAAAGTATTTTTATTTATTTGATATTGATTGGCAGCGCCCATGGACCTTTCCCTTTTTAAAACCAACAGCTTTTTGTAACTCGACTTAGCTTTTGGTTCCCGGGCAAATGTTGGAAAGCAAGTTGGAACCGATTGCAACAGGGTACTTTTGTTATTACACCAACAGCCCGCGTTTCTTCCGTTGTGGAACCTGAAGGCTGTTCCCGCGGGAGTCCCCGAGTGGTCTCCCATCCAGGCCCTAACCAGACCCAGCCCTGCTTAGCTTCGCGTTGCATCCTGCGCCGCCGCCACCTTCTTGCGCCAAGACGGATGGAGAGCCCTTGTTTCCTTTTCACGAGCAGCTAAAAACAGCGGGCTCCTTGCACTGCTAGATCTCAAGCTCCGAAGCAGCCACACAACTCGATGTGTGGAGGCAGAGGGCACCTTGGCCGCCTGGTTCCCCCAGAATTTTGGGTGGAATATAGCAAGATTCCGGGCGCTTTACCCGCTTAATTTTCTTCGCCGCGCGCTCGCTCCCTGACTCGGGTTTGCAGAGAAAGCCCGCGCCGAGAGGCAGCTAAGCTCCTTGCGCGCGTCTCCCCCTTCGCCAGCCCAGAGGATTTCACAATATTATACAATTTGAACGCTGATCTTTTAAATCACTTGAGCTGTGCTTTTTTCGGTCTCGCGTTTTGTCCTCGGGGACTCGGCTACCCGAATAAGCTGATTGCTTGCTTGGCTTGGCTTCTTTGCAGCGGGAGAAGGAAAGGGAGCGCGCAGGGGAACCTGCCCGAGTCCTCCCTCCCTCCCGCTCTCCCCCCCCCTCCCGCCTGAGTCGCCCCCTGTTTCTCCCCGCCGCCTGGCGACTTCCTAGAAGCCAAGCGCGGAGCCGGAGGCGGTCGCGGCTCGCGCGCGCTGCCTTCGCCCACAGCGCCTTCAGGGCCGGACCAAGACATTTTGCTTCCTGATGCGCAGCGCAAAGAGAGCGCGAGAGAGCGCGCCGGGAAAGGGCGCTTGCAACCAGTGCAAGGCGTCTATGCGTGGGTGGTGGGGGTCGTGTTATTTTGGCACCTACGGCAGAGACTTCCACGACGCACATGGTGGTTTTTTGTTGTTGTTGTTTTGCTCCTCGCTGGCAGCAAAAACCCAACAAGAATGCATTAAAGGGAGCCGCAACTAAAACGTTGGTGCCCTTTCATTCCCTCGCTCCAAACCAGCTGCCTAAGGCAGACGCATACCTAGGAAAATATACATCAGTCGCGGATGCTTTAGTTGAGATTCCTGCATTGCAAGGGGTTGGACTGGAAAGCCCCTGGGGTTCCCACCCAGCTCTACACTTCTTTGATTCTATAGGGTGCCTTGTAACGAGTCAGAACAACGCTTCACCTGCCATTGGTTCATCTCCGCCAATATTGTCTACACGGACTGGCAGCGGCACTGCAGGGTTTCAGGCAGGAGTCTCCCCAAGCCCGAGCTGGAGATGACGTTGAGCAGGCATCCCCAAACTCGGCCCTCCAGCTGTTTTGGGACTACAACTCGCATCATTCCCTAGCTAACAGGACCAGTGGTCAGGGATGATGGGAGTTGTAGTCCCAAAACAGCTGCAGGGCCGAGTTTGGGGATGCCTGACGTTGAGGGTTGAAGTTGGGACCTTCTGAAGTCAGCCCTGTTTAGGGAAGCTTTTAATGTTTAACGGACTCTTGTATTTTAATATTTTGTTGGGAGCCGCCCAGAGTGGCTGGGGAAACCCAGCCAGATGGGCGGGGCATAAGTAATAAATTATTATTATTATTATTATTATTATTATTATTATTATTATTATTATTATTATTATTATTACTTCTGCTTGCGGGGCAGACGCTCCGCCGCTCAGCCATCGATTCCCTCCTTGCGCTGCGCTCCTCGGCTGCTTTCTTTTTCTTATTATTTTTTATAATAATAATAAAAGAAATAATAAAAATAAGAATAAAAGAAAAGAAAACAAAACAAAACAGGAAGGAAGGAAGGACGAATGAACCATTGAACAGACACTTACTTGCCTTACTGGTTATCACGGCGCCACTTGCTTCCGAGTGAACAGGACTGAGGTGCATAATAACATTTTACTCCTCAGTAACAACACTCCCTGTTTCTGGGGGAATCAGGATTTGGTGTAAATCTCCATTTTAATCATCTCTTTCATGCCTTAAGAAACATCCCATTTTCTCCAGTTTGGTGCTGGAGACCCAAACAGCGACGAGATACCTGCTGGGTGTGTATGGAGGAGATACGCGCTCACGTCGCATTAAGCCCGCACTGCAGTTTGGTTGAGTACAGCTCCTCCCGGTGCCCCGCCATTAATGTGATTTAAATAGCGTGAAGGATTAATGCCGATAAAATAATAGAAGTTTGAGGAGGGTAGGGCGCGCGCTGCGAACAGAAGGGAGAAAGGGATCTCCGTTAATTAGAATCCCTGTTTAATTAAAGGAGTGGGACATGCTGACGGCCCAGATCCAATAAAAAATTACTAAGAAGCGCTTGGGGTGCAGTAGGATTCCATGCATGTTTACTGGGGAGTAAGTCCCACTAAGTTCAATGGAGACTTTCTCCTAAGTAAATGCATCTTGAATTGCAGCCTCACTGCCCAGCCCTATACATGTTTACTCGGGAGTAAGTCTCCCTGAGCTCAACTTGGCTTACTGCCGGTTAAGTGTGTATCTCAATAATAGCAGGAGGAAGATGGTCAGAAAAGTCAGACCATGTAAATGGATAAACCAAACCACTGATTTTTTTTTTTGGGGGGGGGTGTCCACTATAAAATGGAAACTACAAAGTTTCTCTGGCTGGTACCTTATTTTGGAGCAATCCTCCCAATCCGATTAGGGTGCAGCCTTCATTCATCAGTTTGCAGCCTGTGATTTTTAACATAATTCATAAAAGAAAAACGAACCAGTATCTTCCTAGGCTTTAGGAAGTTCTTAAAATGGCTGGCAGAGCAATCTTTTAGCTCATGGGTAGGCAAACTAAGGCCCGGGGGCCGGATCTGGTCCAATCACCTTCTCAATCCGGCCCGCGGACGGTCCGGGAATCAGTGTGTTTTTACATGAGTAGAATGTGTCCCTGTATTTAAAATGCATCTCTGGGTTATTTGTGGGGCATAGGAATTTGTTCATTATTATTTTTTTCAAAATATAGTCCGGTCCCCCACAAGGTCTGAGGGACAGTGGACCAGCCCCCTGCTGAAAAAGGTTTGCTGACCCCTGCTAGCTGTCTACTCAGCAGAAGGTCCCATTGAGTTCAATGGAGCATACACCCCAGTAAATAAGTACAGGATTACAGCAACAATTGCACCAAGGGTGGCTAACCTGCGACCCTAACCTGCAACCATCTTCCATCAGCCCCAGGCCAATCCTGAAATGAATCCTGAACTAGTTGTTCTACAGGCTTGAAACCCCAGGCATGCGGGTGGCGCTGTGGGTTAAACCACAGAGCCTAGCACTTGCCAATCAGAAGGTCAGTGGTTTGAATCCCTGCGACGGGGTGAGTTCCCCTTGCTTGGTCCCTGCTCCTGCCAACCTAGCAGTTCGAAAGCACATCAAAGTGCAAGCAGATAAATAGGTACCACTCCAGCGGGAAGGTAAACAGCATTTGCGTGCACTGCTCTGGTTCGCCAGAAGCGGCTTAGTCTTCTGGCCACATGACCCGGAAGCTGTATGCCGGCTCCCTCGGCCAGTAAAGCGAGATGAGCATCGCAACCCCAGAGTCGGCCACGACTGGACCTAATGGTCAGGGGTCCCTTTACCTTTTTTACATGCCACTGTGCTCTTCAGGGCTT